TACGGACCATGCCAAGAGAAGCTGAAATGATGTTAGCCTTAACCAATTTAACATCTTTCTTGCTTGAAGTAAATGTTTACAGCTGTTCCTTTCTTAGTGGTGAGTGTTTTATCTGTGAAGTCACTGGGGAGGCTGCTGTTCAGCTATATAAAAGTGGGGTGTGATTCAGGGGAAGGTGGGATCAAAACTGGGATGTGTGTACTTGGCTCAAGCAAAAGAGAGGCAGCTTGTGTGAGCAGCTGTGAATGGGCAGATGTGTGTGTGGTGAGGCAGGCTGAGTCAGAGCTGAGCCTCCTCTGAAAGAATGCGTTTTGCTCCTGTGTGCTGGGAAAATGAAAACAGGAGGGAGGGGACTGTGCTGCTTCTTCACTGGGGACTGGTGTTTCCGGGGGGGGTGAAGTTGGTCTCATCTGTGGCAGTGGCTGTTATGAGCATGCTGATTCATTAGTCAGTGGGTGGTGAGGACTGCGTGCAATCTCTGAGGGAGGAAATGGCTTGGTTGCTTTAGGGAGAAGGAACATTTTCTGTAACTGCAGGATGTGTGGATGGAGTGTACAGATAGTGTATCTATAGCATATCAGTTAAATACCCTGGTGTTGTGAGATAAGGATTTACTAGAGGACTAAAATAGGATGTGAAACTGAGGTTTTGCATCTTGTGCTCAAGTAGAGCAGGTTTGGTTTGGTTTGTTTTTTTTAATCATGGAGAATTGTTCTCTGCTTCTATATTCAAATCAAGCTTGGTTTTTAAAATATGAACGAATGGTGTTACAGGAGCCATGTCCCTGTCTATTTTTAACAACAAAGCTAATCCCAGGTAGTTGGACTTGCAGGTGAGTTGCTGATTTAAACGCAGATGAAAAGAAATAGCAGACTAGTTGAAAGGGTATAAAATCCAAGGTGAGACACCAGATGTTGAAGGAGTGTCTTTGAGACCATGCCAGCTTGCAGGCAGAGAAAACATGAACACAGCTCAACAACTTAGACCCTGGCATATTCATGCAGCACCTTCTCACGTTGATGGTGCTGTTCATCCTCCATCCAGATAATCTGTCAGGAGATAAGTGTTTGGTCTTGCTGGTTGTTCAGTCAACAAGCAGAATACTTGTTCTAACGCTAAAAGCCTATTCCATTGAAGTAACATGTCTACTTTTCTCATTTAAAAAAAATCTAATGCTACTTTGATTTGTAATAGGAGTTTGAAATGGAAGATGCAGTTTGAAGTGAAATGAAACTTCTGTAAAACAGCCACCCCATCAAAAACTCAGCTGGTATAAGCTAGTGAAAATTTCAGATATCAATATGTGACATTTTACCTATGTCTCAGAATCTGTCAAACTAATTAGCTTTGGCTGTGCCAGTGTTTGGAGAATGAAGGTGCAAAATTAAGGAGAACTTACTCTGTGTAATATACATTGTTATGTATAACAATGCTTAACTTGGTTATACAGCTGTCTGCCATCACTGTAAGTAAAGCTGTACCTGGTTTGGTTTATAGGATGGACTGTACTCTGACAGGAAGCAGATTTACAAAATATATTTTCCTCATATATGCTCCTATAATGATGCTTATTTCTGTGGCATTAAATTCATTCACTGAATATGAAATTGGTAATTGCCTCACTTCCAACTCTTCCTCCTCCCTGCTGCTCTCTAGTGGTTTTCACTTAAGGGTTGGAGTTTTCCAAGACTGACTTCTGGATATTATGAAAAGCACCCAGAGGTGTGGGTAAGATTTATAAAATTATATAAATACAGTTAAAATGGGGTTAGCAACAAAACCTTGGAAGAGTTGTTTTAACAAAGATACCCTTTATCTACTTCTAATCAAACTGTATAGCTCATTAATACTAAGGTGTTGTCATTGTAGAAATAATTTGCCTTTTTCTTTTGCTTTTTTACTGTGACTGTCTTAAGGCAACTTATACAAGTTTTTAGAAGACGACTTTGCTGGATTTTGAGGTGCCATAACAGATCATGAGCTCCTAGACAAGAGCAGTAATTTATTAATAATTCTGTTTGGAAATTGAAAGGGAACTAGCAAAGCTTTTATCTGAAAAGAAGGCAATTTGTGGTTAATCTGTTTTGGCAACAGCCTTAGGTGGTTTCCATTCTCCAGAAAGGGAGACTGGGGAAAAAAGAGTCTAAATTCCTTTCTCTAAAATCAAGGAAAACGCACCAGTGTGCTTTATTGCGTGTTTTAATGAGAGAAAAGTTCCTGTGTATGCATGTCTGGTTTCAGTGTGAGTTATACTAAACTTGGATGATGATGCAGTATTTTTCAAAACTCAAGTATCATGCTAATGAATTCAGCCTTTCACAGATGAAAACTGTGTATTACCTGAGTTTTGAAGACCTGCCAAATGGTGTGAGGCTTTCAGGTCTCTGATTCAGGAACAAGGGCAGAGTACTTTATCTGTAAAGGTCAGGCTGAATGCCAGGGGTTCCCCAGCTGCTCTGTCAGCAGCTCAGCTGTTTGTCAGTATGCTTGGGACAGATAGTAGGCATCACTAATCACATCACCTCTGTTAACTTGTTCCCCTTTTTCCCCTTGACTTCTGAAGACTTTCACATAATTTTGATCATCGCTCAGGCTTGCGGGTGATGCTTAAAACATTGGATTGGGAGTACTGAGCCCTCAACAGCTCCATCTAAGCTATGTGCTGTTGCACTGAGGTACGAAGTTTGCATACAGTGCTGTAGTAGTGGCAGTGCTAAAGGTAACTGAACAGCCACTGAAACAAAGCAGTTAGTGTTAGCATAGTATTCCTTGTGGGGAAAACAAGAATTACTCTGCTTCTGGATAACTTGAACAGCTACGTTTTTGTCATCTGCAGGAAGTCCTATGTAACTTTTGATGCCCCGGGCTTTTGTTGTGGGCCAGAAGGGTAGGAGAGGCTAGGTGAAAGGTAAAACCTTAAAGAAAGATCAGCAAAATGCTTGTTTGCTTCCTCAAAAAGTAACTAGCATTAGAATACAGGTTGTTTGACTTTTTAGACCTAGAGTTGAGCGGTGCTGCTTTTTTCTTTAGAATTATTCTGCATTCTTCTTAGAGAATGACTTAGTAATTCTATCAGCCTCTTCTAAACTGCTTCAGTGCATCTATTAAATTGACTGTGCATACTTCGTTTATTTCTTGTGAGATGAATGAGTGAAGATGGTGCTGAAAGGCAGTAATGTTGTATTTTGTATGTTTTTTGTATAATCTTGAAATGGGGGCTGTGGGAGGTGGTTTCCTGGTAGTGCATGTCTTACTCGTGCTGGTTCTGACACCTCTGCTTGCAAAGGCTCTTGGCTGGTTGGTCTGTGCTCTGCATAGTGTGCTGTCATCACAGAAGACATAAGTGTGATGACTTGCTTAGCTAGTCTGTGAATAAAGGACAGACAATGACTCTGCGCTTCTCAGTAGAGACCCTGCAGTAGGAGAGCTGATAGGAAGAAGATACGCTTGACTTAATCTTACTTGATCATTAAGCTACTGCATGTTTTTACTAATTAAAACCTCTAGAGTACATCACTTCATGCTGAAGTGTTATAAGTTGTAAAAATCAAGCTTGGAGATTAAATGTGTATTTTCTTTGGCAAATAACATATTTGTCAGTTGGTTTTTTGTTAGTTGTTCCCTTTCTTCCGCTTACGGGTTGCCTTTCATGTTGTTCAGTACTTAGTTTTACCAGGACAGCCTTAGTGGTAGTAAGGCTTATGTTCCTTCTGTACCTCCTGTGACTCCAAGACTTTGCTTTTTCTGCTTGAGTTACCTTAGCTGATGAGCATGGAATGGAGCAAGTTGGCACAGTCGGGCGCTTTGAAATACACCATAGTGCTAAACATCAATTATACTTTGAGGATTTGCCAGGGGATGAGTTTAGAACTATTACAGGAGGTGCTGTGTGAAAATCCCCCTACCTAGCTAGGTCATTTCTCAAGACTAAAAAGCCTCAATAGGGTCTTGAATGCTTAGGCAGTCTTTAAATGTGAAGAGGGTGCAGACCTGCATGTGTGGTTTGCCTCTGTCAATTCAGCTTAGACAGACTTCTGTTCCATGAGGGGTTTTGACTTGCCAAGTAGGCTGAAATGACTCCTGAGGGTTGATTTTTCTTTACAATTTAGAGAATTCTGCTGTGGTGGACTTTTTTTTTTTTCTTTCTTTTTTTTAAGACTGATGTCATTAAATATAAGGAGTCAAACTCATTTACTGTTGTATTTGCTTCTTTTTAAATTTCCTGTGTGGAGATTAATCTCTGGTCTTTGGAAGGGGAAATACTTCTGCTTTAAATCACTGTATCATGTGCCATTATCTAAGATGTAGGGCCTTAAGCTTGTGCATTATTCCTTGTTGCAGCTGAAGGCACTGTGTACATATTGATGCTGCAGATGGGGTTTGATCATGTGGTGGTACTTCTCTTGAAAAGCCTTTTCGCAAATGCTAGGGTAGACACAGGAAGCCTAATTTTAGCATGGTGTGTGTATGTATGGTGTATTTTACAAAACTCTGACTAGTTGGTAAATTTGAGGAGGACTGGAACTGGTGCTTGTTCTTCGCTGAAAGAGCTCATGTATTGGGATAAAGTCCAGTGCTGCTTGGGAGTAGGAAAGCATATGTTGGTTTAACCATTTAAATGTGCTGTAAAGAATCATTCCTGACTGGCAGCATGCCACTTTCTTTGTGACATGGAGCTAAGCTGACAAACAAAACAGTTTCTTTAACTGAAAGCAGTAACATAATTCTAACCAAATCCTGGTGCATGCCAGTTTAAAATGAGAACACATTTTAAATTTATTCTGTCCAGTACAGTAGGCAAAAGTTACAGCGCTCACTTGATTAAAACGAGTTCTTGGAAAGGAGGCAGGAGAAACTGTTAAGTGGAGTCTCATGTTACCAGCTGGTTTGGAAATTCTTCTGAGAGTATGTATAGAAGCTTCTTGCATTATTATTGTCACTGTGCAGGCATGTGTGCAAATGCTTTTAAATTTATAGCATCTGTTTTGCTTTTATTTCAGGTGTACTTGAAGGCACCTATGATTCTTAATGGTGTTTGTGTAATCTGGAAAGGCTGGATAGATCTTCAGAGACTGGATGGTATGGGCTGCCTGGAATTTGATGAAGAGAGAGCGCAGGTAAGAAAGTCTGCCTGTAGCTGCTGTGCCTTAGACATCCTTCTGCTCTGCAAGGAAACACACAGTCAGGTAGTGATCACACATTCTAATGTGCTTGTTTCCTGCGTACACTTTGAGTACTAATTGCAAAGAGAACTCACAGTACAGAAGCTCAGAAATAAGTGGTTGTAGTTAAACTGGTGTTTTAAGTTAGATCAAAATATTAGGGGCAGGAATCATCCATAGTTTACAGCTTTGTGGGTGATTTAGCACTGTTCCTGTGCTAGAGTAGTACATCTTGAAGTATTTGAAAAGCTATGTCTGTAATATGTACTGATTCAACTGGCTAGTCTGTTTTAGCAGTTTATTTTAGAGTGTTTGGGGTTTTTAAGTAGCTTTTTGTTTTATTACATATGGGGGAGGATGAATTTAATAGTGGTGGTCTCTGCTCTGTTAAGGTATGGCAGTTTTTGAGAACCTGTTTCCTGTCTACTTCCTGCCACCAAAGTGACTGTCTAGTGGCTGAATTTGTGGACGTGCACAAGAGCAAAGTAAACACAGAGGAAATAACTTAAAGTACATATCACATGTGTAAGGTTCACTTACTCAGCTGTAGGATTCCTAAATTTAGTCAGACTTGAGATACATCCTAGCTTTTGAGATGTATTTTTGTAGCAAAGCTACCAAACTGATACTAAAACCAGCTACACCAGGTTTGTGAGAGCTTCCACACAGTGGATAGTAAATTGGGTGTAGTAATGATTTTAACCTCTATTTTGTGGTGAACTCAGCAGTTCATTTCTGTAGTTCGATAATTTAGAAATGTTAGAACCATATGAAGGCAAAGCCCAAAGTGAGTCTGTATACAAGGTTGGTTTTTTGGTTGTTTGGTTTTTTTTTTTTACATGGAGGTATGCATAGCTGCAATCTTTGCGGTGCCTTGCCTCTCCCTAACTTAAGAAGCCAGCTTGCACATTAATGAGATCATGTCATTGTGACTATGTTCTGGGTTGAGTAGAAATACTTTGTGTCCAAATAGTGTCTGTGAAATAGTCACAGCCCTGCAAGCTTTCTTCAGGATGCCTAGAAAAAGAGGGTATGCTGTGCTATTCTGAGAATATTCAGTACCTCCTTTTGTTAATCCATGGGAAAAGCCACAGAACCAAGCTTTTACTGGAATGCTGCTATTTGCTGTGGTGTTCACTTCTTCCAAAGCTGGGTGCTGGCATTTTGAGCTAGCCAAGTTCCAGTGTGCTCCTTGGAGAGTTAACTGCTGTAGATGCTGTTGATTAAAAGACCTTTAGACTATAACAGCTTCCACAGCTAGGTCAGACGTAGACCCCTGAGGATTGTACAGAATAAATGCTGAGGTTCTTGAACTCCAGCTATGAAGTTTGATACTTAACATTTAAATCGCATAACTTCTGGACTGAAATGAGACTGATTTGGATGTGCTCTCAGAAGCAGATAGTGTCATTCTTCTTCAGAATTGGATAGTTCCTGAAAAAAGTGGGAACCCTTCCAAAAAGGGTAGTCAGGTGACTTGTGGGTTCAATTTTCTTTTTTTAATTTCCTGATAAATGTCTTTACATGCTCTTGGATTATTTTAATTTCTGTATATCCTTTTTTAACTACACTTGAGAATTCCTTTCTATTGCATTCAGAGAGTGTTTGTGCACTGAACATGTTATATAGCCTTTTTGTTTTGTTGTGTTTGGAGTGGTTTGGGGTTGTTTTTTTTTTTTCTTTCTTTGGGGGAGGGGAGGGGGATGTTTGCATGCTTTCAGGTGTCAGGGCTCGCTTGAGTTTTGGGTACAGGGTGCTGAGCTGGAGGTATTACATGGTGTGGTTCTACAGGGATACGCTTGCCTTCAGCTGCAGTTGTAATTTGTCTTCAATCTGTGCTTCTCAGTGATTGCAGGGAGGTCACTGGTTGTCTCACTTGCTGCAGTAGTAGCACCTAAAAATTCCCATTCTCATAAAGCACTAGAGACACCAAAATAGGTGCATCCTTGTATTTGTCAGTATTGTAAACGTTTGGGCAATCTTCTACATTCTTCAGTTTCCTTTTTCTTTGGGCAATCTTCTACATTCTTTCAGTTTCCTTTTTATCTGTCATTTTGCTTCCTTTTTTTTTTTTTTTTTATAACTGTTTTAATATTGCCAGTGGCAGTTGACCTAACTGCTGACTTTGATACGGTAAGGGCCTGGTACTGTGCAGTGTAGCGCCTGTGGGGTACCCACTTGTCTTTTGTAACAAGAGGTCCTGTTGCCGTTCAGACACACCCCCATACGCATCCTGTACTCCTGTTTTCTAGAGAGCTTCCTCTTAGCAAACAGAAACTCTTAAATAAAAGAATTCTTAAATTTTTATTAAATATTTAAATACTAATATTAAATGTTAATTTGAAAAAGCTTTCTTAAATGGAAACTCAAAAACTGTTGCATTTTCCTATCTTTTACTACTTAATAATACTCTGAACAAATAATATTTTTTTTTTGTTGCTACACTTTGGAAATTATACTACCGTTCCGGTCAAAAATGTTTCGGAAAGAGAAAAGGCATGCATGACAGTGAAGTATTTAAAATTTAACTTTTAATCTAGTGTTTTTTCCATTTCATTCACAGCCTGTTCATGTCTGCCTACTAAGCTGTCTTATTTTTTATGAGAGGCCCAGATTCAGCTGCTTGTTCAGACTTCAGTTAGGCTAACACACACAAAGCTCTGCATATATGCTTGAGTATCTTCCCCGTTTGGGGCTGAAATTTCCCTGGATTTGATATTTATCTTGAGGGTCATCAAAAGGCTGTTTCTGTCTTTGGCACTTTTGTATCTCTTCTGTAATAGAGGATCCTTACTATGCTTAGTTAAAAGTGTTTTCTTACCAGGCCGCTGCAGGAGAAATGTGCGTGAGTGGAGGAGGGGTGTTTAAGCTTCTCTTGGTTTTTGTTTGTCTGCGCTGGGGGGTTTATTTTGTTCTGTTCTCATGTTGATATAGTTCAGGTTTTGCTGCTTCTTTTTCTGAATAAATTCATACCAGAAGCATTTTCACTGATTAAAACCAAGGTGGATAAATTATTTGGTCTCATGCAGCTGAATTCACTACGCAATAATTACTAGATTTGAGTGACATTTGAAAAAAATTGTTAAATTCTTGTTGTACAAGATCCTGAGATGTTTGTTGGTTTCTGTTATCACCAGGGGTAGGGCAGAATTTATTTTTTTTTTATTCTTAAAAAAATAAGTTCTGATGCTTCCTCTCCCCTTTTCTCAGACATTAGTAAACCAGTGTTTCAGCTGTCAGGATGTGTTTGTTCTAGATGTCAACATACTGATTTTTTTCCTTATGAATTTCTAATCTAGTTTCTTTTGGTTATGACCATTTCTTTTACAGTATTGTGGCTTAAGATGTATGTTAGCCTTTTATTTCATGACCACTTTAAATGGTGGTAAAATGCAAAAATCTTGTATTAAAAAAATACACTTTCATTTAAAGTATGTTTGAAAACAGGGTCAAAAGACATAGGGTGTTAAAGACGTAATATTTGTAAATAAGAAAGAAGGCATCTTTTCTGTAGTCATCTAGGAAACAAGCTTTTGTATCTTATCTCTATCCTGCTGCATTATTAAGAACAAACTTACTTTCCACTGTCTGACCGTGGTTTCTATGCATGTGCAAACATTAAGCTATAAAGGGCCAAATTCTACTCTTAACATTTTAACAGTACCTCCTATTTTTATCTTACTGGCAGCTTTAAACATTGCCTTTTGATGTAACTTTCTGGGGAGCTGGGTGTGTAGAGTTGTTGGTTGGCAGATGTTTGTATTTAAGTGTGTTAGGCCACAGGGGGCACTCATTCACATCATTTCACAAAGTAGCTGGAGGGTGCACCATTGTGCCAGCGGCAAAAAAGGCAATTTAAATTCTCTCAGGCTAGGGATGCTTTATCTTAAATTAAAAAATGTATGCACTTAATCCCTAGTTGGGTTCTTAACATGTTTGTGTCATCTCACAGTCAAGGTTAGGATTTCACTTCTTTAAAATAAAACTATTAACTTGAAAAAAATATTTGCATGTATGTGGGAGTCATAAGCAGTGTTAGCGGTAAGTATAGCTGGGAAGTTGGGAAGAGGGAAAGCCAGTAAATTTATCCCTTACTCTTTTGTGGAACCTCTTTAGACTTGTCTCCTTCATTCTGAGCACTTGAAAATTCTTTTGGGGAGCAGAGCCATCTATTTTAATTCTGAGCAAAATCTGGGCTATAAAAAGTATCTCTAAGAGAATTTTTTTGTAAACCAATAAACAATGGGTTACATATTAATAACACTTTAATACTTTCTTCTGCATTATAAATGCATTCCTGTTCAAAAGCCATTGCTGGAAAAAAACAACAGGGCTGTCAAACCTACAGGTTTCTTCTGTATTGTATGGGAATGTGCAAAATTAGTAGAGGAATAACTTCTGCTTTGCATTTTCTTATGCATCTAAGCTTAAACAATTTAAATTTTACGTAAAGATCGCAAACGTTTCTACTGATGCACCTTCAGCAGCTTTTGGTAAAACAGAGGGTTTTTTTGGTTTATAGTTTAAATGAAATATAACTAAGTTCATCGTTTAAATGAAAGATAATTAACATTATTTATATAATGATACTGGTGAACTGTCTTAGACATACCTGTGAATACTGCCTTCAGAATGACTTTTATAAGAATAAAATGCATTGAGTCTTTCATGTAACTTTTGAGAATTTCTAGCTTTAAAAGAAAACAGCAGCATTTTAAACTACTTTGGAACAGCAGGTCTCCTTTGAAAATGTGTTTTAGTAGTAGCTGCATTGAAGCTTTGGATCCCTACTGCAGTGATGAAGGTGAGTATTATTTCATTAACCTATATTGGCATTTGCTGGAACTTGTCTGTATCCTAGCAGATTCTGTAGGACATTTTTATCATTGCTGTTAAGTGATCCCTAAAATTCAAAAGAAATGTGATCTGGTAGAAATGAGGATAGCCTCTCGTGTCACTGTGTTTCTGGTTTGGTAGCAGGAGGATGCATTGGCACAACAAGCCTTTGAAGAAGCTCGGCGGAGAACTCGTGAATTTGAGGATAGAGACAGGTCTCATCGTGAGGAAATGGAGGTGAGGGTTTCACAGCTGCTGTCAGTAACTGGTTAGTACTTTCCAAAAACTTCAGATTTGTTTTCATTTGTTTGTCTGTACTGTTTGTGTGTTTGCTGTAGTTTAAAAATTGCAAAATACATTGTTTTTAACTTGTAAAATGAATTTCAGGTTTTGGAAGTTTTGATAAGAATTCTCTGATTTTTGTCCTTTTACTCTTTCTGTAGATAATCTCTTTGTGGGTACTTAAGCTTCGAGGGTACATTTCAGTTCATTTGATCACAGAGCTGTTGTATCTCTCTCAACGATACTTCAATAGCAGAGAAGGATTTTTTCCACATGCAGTTCTTACAAACACAGGAAGGGCTTTGGGAGCTGTGGGCATGTAATTTTGTAGCTCACTACCCTGTCCTGTGGGAAACATTACCAGAGTAATGACAGATGCCACAGTCTGCTTTCTTTACAGGCTGGTTTTATCTTCCTCTCACATTTTTCTTGCTGGCAGGGAGTTTTACTCCTCTATTTCACCTGTAGAGTTCCCTCTATCTTTTTCTTGGCTTCTCTAGGGCCCCATGGTCTTGAATCTTTTTCCCTCTTGATGAGAGCAGGTATTAGTGGGATCAAGCAAAGAGGAGCCAGGAAAGAGAATGGAATCCAGCTGCCCTGACATGTTAGAAAGGCAAGAGCTGTAAGAGGACGGGTAATGCATAAGGAGAGTTTGCAAGTTAAGGCAGGCTGTAGGGAGAAAACAGAAGCACATTAAATTTCTTACCCTTACTAACTTTGTGTTTTTTATTTCCTACTTCATCAGTACAGCCTGACTTTACTGTAATCGAATGTGATCAATATGCTGCTTCTCAGGTTTTTAGAAAATTCGGTTATTGTTACTAGTAAGCTACTTTTCTGTCATCCTTATGAATAATTGAGATCATTAGACAGGCTTTCTTCCCTTCCAAGTACAATTGGAAAACATGAGCATGAGAATGCATGAGAATGCAAGGAGAAGAAGCAGATGGAAAGAACAGTACCTCTCACTTTGAAGGAATGGCTGGTGTACCTCTCCTTGAAAACACTGGTGTAGCCAGGTCAGGTATCAGCTGTAGCTAAGGTAAAATCCTTGTCTTGGAGGCCTCGCTGTAGCAATAGTTATTGCCCCGGCTCTAAAGCACTGGTTTAGATCACCTACAGAAAGGAAGTAAAGAAAACTCACTCACTTGAAATATGTTTAAGGAGAATTGAAGAATATTGTCAAAAGGTACTTCAAATTTGTGATGTTGAATACAGGTTTTTAATAACTGAAATACATTTTTATGCATACTTTATATTTTACTGTACATGTTTAATATGTATAAGCAAGAGATCATTTGCCTCAATTACTTGTAGTTCTATAATTGGTTGGTTTTTTTTTACATTTCAATTTTTCATTTCTATGTTTGGCCACATATTTGGAACGTTTACAGATAAGATTTTGCACTCTGAGTCTTAAGACTGAATAAAAATTGTGATCTTTGGGGTAGGGCAGGGGAGAGAGCTGGGATAGACTTACAATGAATTCCTAAGGAGGAATCGGGTTTTCAAACCATTGTTTCCCTGACTTTTACTTCAGTTGTATCCTAATGCAGTGCTGGGGAGAATCAAATGAATTTTAATCAGTAAGCACTTACATAAGGTGCTCATGATTATCATACAGAATTCTCAATTGAAAGTAATATAGAAATGTGTATTCCTATGTTGTATTTATGGCCTGTATAAAAGTTTCCAATCCTACATGCTTGGTCAGCTTGTACCCTATTGATAATTGTGTTGCTGACAGCTATAAAAACATTAGTCCAAACTATGGTGTACTGTTTGTGTAATTTCAGTAGCGAAATAGTACCTTTGATGGTACTTGAAGGCTTTTATGGCTAGAAAAGGTAGGTTCTGAGTGTGCTGAGTGAATTTTTATGCATGTTACACTACACACAGTTGAAGGTACCCTCAGCATAATCTTTTCAATATGATAGCTATACAACTTTCATCATTCATAAAACTGAAAATTTTTCTTTCCTGCTAAGCTTGGGCAGTAAAATTCAAACTGCTAGGCTTGGAGCAGGATCTCATCAGTGTTAATGATTATTTTAGAAATTGCAGCACTGTATAAAATCAGGATATTTCAGACAGCAGAATTATGGCTAAAATGCCTTTAATAGAGACCAGATTCTGCTTCAGTGGCAGAGGGAAGGAGAATCCTGCAATATTCCACCCACTCCTACTCAAAACAGAGGCGCCAGCTCTTTGGAAGCATTTATCCACCCAAAGACTGGCAGCATATGAAAATGATCAGATTCGGTTCTTTTCTTACACAGAAAAGAGGCTGTATAAATAACATTCCTAGTCTAAGTCTCTTTGTAGGCTTCTAAAACAAAGTGGTATATCCTTGCCTAGGAGTCATCAGCGAAAGCTGTTGGAAACAATACGAATGGCTTGTATGTGGCATTGGATATTAGAATGGTGATACTCAAAGGTGGAAGGAATAGCAAGTGCAGTAACAGTTTAGGAGTAATCACTGTACTAATTTCAATTTTTAAGTATCCTAAAAAAAGAAACAAACCCAACCGAAAAAAACATCACCAAGAAAACCCTCTTGAGTGCCGTCAGGTTTGTTTGACTTCATTTCATCACATAATGTTGCTTCCATTGATGAGTTCATTAGCACAACAGATCTTTTATTTTAATGAACATTTTCTTTGCATCTGAGGGCGGAATCAGTAGTGGTTGGTAGCTTGTGATTGAATTTCCAGAACTTGATCAGATTTCTGTGCAGTTACAGCATGGTAATGTAAATAGGTATGACTGGATTTAGGAATTTTCATTAAGTGCCTTTGAGATGAACAGTGTTCTATTGTATTTTCAGTATTTTGGTTCTCAATACAAGATGCTTTGGGGTTTTTCTATCAACTTACATAGCTTGGTCACATCAGAAACTGCAGATCCTGCCTCTCTGTTCAGGATTCTTTTGTTTCAAAGATGCTTTTGTAGTCAGTGTTTTTAATTAATGCATTCAAAATTAATAATGAATTCCAATGGCTTTAACTTTCACAAAAACATTGGAATGCTGAGACAGTAAATGTTTAATGATACACATGAGGAAAGACTTTATCCCCAGTTAAAGTCTGGTAAAAATAAATGATTGCGTGAAGTCTTGTCAGTTCAGGAACAGTGAGCAACTTGGCCAAATTGCAGTATTTAGTGGCTTCATACCACTATGGGAAAATTCTTTTTCCATGGGCAAGTACTTTACAGCAGGGAACTTGGTCCAAGGCCATTTCTTTAGGGGCGTGTTCTGGAACTGATGCCACTGAACAGGTATATGAACTTGAAGTATTTGTACGTTTCCCTTTGCCAGACTAACCAGAAGAGAGTGAGGAAACTAAAGGAATATCAGCAAGGCAGATGCTTAATTTTCACTACTTCTTTCTCAACTGAGATGCAAGGGGATAGTCAATACTAGTTGTTTTGCTATGTTTTCAATATGAATAACCACAGTTCAGTGTCAGGATGAAAAGTGTTCTACAGAAATCACTGTGAGGTTGCTGTCTAGATGTACCTGAATCTTCCAGCACAAACTTCTGCTTTTTATTTGGTGTTCTGGCCATAGTAGCGTGCATTACACTGTCCAGAATGAGAGAATTAAACAGCTCCGAGTTGATGAAATTAGAATACATTGAAAGTAACAGCATGTGTTCAGTCAGGAAAAGCAGCAAACAGGTGCCTCCTGCAGCTCTTCACTGGAGCAGCAGGTACAAAGCGGTGGATTTCAAGGGTGTAGGTAAAGAGAAGAGGCTAATTCATACGTTGCTGTGTGCAGATAGTTGTCTTCCTAAAAGTTTGTTTTGTATAGGCAAACTGTAACTTCAGTTTTTAAGTGATCTGCTTGAGTGCACAGTTTGTCTTACTCTGCTACTCTTCGGTTTAGCCAAGGATGTTCTTCAGATTACTCCATTTTTGGAGGAGGGTTGGATCTCTTCTCAGTTTTCCAATGTAATTTTGTTCAACCAGCATCTTTTAAAGTCATTTTTCTGTATTGTGTTCATTTCCCATGCTACTGCCATGCACTTTATTTTAGTAACAACATGAGTAAAGAGGCAGAGTGGTTTGCTCTTCCCTGAAACAGTCTAGTCTAGCAATCTGTCTGGTTGTGGGCTTATGCTAAATATAAATTACATTAATGGCTAAGCAGAGCCATTTAACAGAACTGCATGAAATTCTCATTTAAAATCCTTCATTGTACTGGAGAAGAAGAAAGAAAAGCAGTAGAACTAACTTTCCTATTCTTCCAAGGTTCTAGACAGTGAAGTTATCCTCTCTTTTATTAAAAAAAAAGGGGGGGGGGGGGGAATGTAGGGTTAATCAACTAGTATGTATATATAAATGCTCTAATTTTTGTCAAATAGAACTGGCTTCAGAAGAAAATACCATATTGTGATAACATTGGGTTTTTTTTCCCTTGTTTCTGCCATCTTTATCAAACTCTGATTTTTAGGGCTTTTTTTTCCCCTCAGAAATGAATCTGTAATGAGTGTAATTACTTATTTTATGTTCACACTTAAAATATATGCTCCCCATGCTGATAACAATATAAAAATAGTATAACCTTTAATAGTACAGCTTTTTGGATGGAAAGAAACCCCAAATGTTAATTCTTCATATGTGGTGGATAGTGCAGACTTGGTTCATGATTGTGTAAGTGTTTGTGTTATGAGCATATGTATATATATAATATGACTTGTTTATACTCAGGATGAATACAACACAATTTAGAGAATAGATTAAAGTATGCGTGTGATGCATTGCCTCAAAAGGCTCTACAATGTGAGTGTAGTACAAGTAGGCCAGCAAGGTTAAGACTAGATTCTTTACAAGAACTTTTCAATAGTTGGTTCTTATGTAGAAGGGCTATGGAATGCATATCTCACAAAAACAACTTGTGCTGTACAGAATCAATGCTGAGGGTAGTACAGAGGAGATCAATCTTGCAAATCAGGCAATACTGTAATGTAAGCGTCTTCTTGC